ATGCCGGCGATCACCGCGAAGCCGCAACGTAACCGTTCATTGATATCGCTTATATAGATTCCGTTGTTATTTATGTAACGATAAATAAAGAAGGTGGTATAAATAATTTTATATAAAACCTTGCTTGGTATCGTGCTATTTAAAGACCACATTGTGAAGAGCGTTCACATTCTCTTTACGCGATCACGGTTAGTCACCTTTATTTATGTACAATGCACCCTTTATCTTATCAATGTTTTCCTCATACTCGGTCATCAGGCGCATTTTAATCAAGGCAGAGATGAATGCATGATGTCATTTGCAAACGGAGCGTTAAAAAAATTCAATGACCGCACAAAGTTCAATCGCTGGACGAGCAGATAATTACATTTCCGTGGAATATTCGATTGGCAATTTACGAAGGAAGATTTAACTTTGACATTTTCTATATAAATAAATGTTCTTTTTTACAATTTTTTAATATTTAAATATTTTCTAAAATATATTATTGAAATTGCATCATATAAAAATTAACTTGTTGCATTTTTAATTTACAGTGGAAAACACATTTATAACAAAAGTTAAAAATGTAGCGAATATTTTCGATATCCACTTTTGCGAGTACTGCATGATACATTGTGCAATTCCGCACCCTCGCGCTGATGCATATACGAGAGCAACGCGACTTCGAATGAAGGTAAACGCACACGTGCACGCTCGAAAAGATACTCGGCAAGGTATTATAGCGCACACGATGCACCAGACATCCTTGCAGGCGATAATGGTGACATAACAAAACGAAGGCGCGATAGTAATGATTCAGCATGCGATACCGGTCATATTTCTCTTTTGCACACGTCATCAGCGTGAAATCGGGTCGCTACCGAATGTATTTTACCATCATTCATCAAACAATTCTTGTTGACAATTCTTGTTAACTCGCAGGAAAAGCTGCGAGACTTAACGCAAACCTAATTGCGTAATTGTCGCAAAACTAATTAAGCACCGCAAAATACCGATACAATCCGTATCTTAATTATTGCTAAAAAATTCTGGATTTTTTATGTGCGAGAATTTTATTTAAAGGAATTTTTTCTGATATGTTAATGAATGAAAGTATATAATTGCACGCTGATGTACAGTTGCAATTATCAAAAGTTTATATTAGTTTGGGCAATGTGGCACAATCTGGAAAAAAATTCTAAATTAATGCTTGATTTATGACTGCAGTGACCCGACCTTGCCATTTACAAAAATGCGAGCGACACGTTTTACGGTATCTGCGTACACGGCATTTTCCAGCAACAGTGCGGCACGCTTTTGAAATGTCAGTTGCATACATTTTATCGCAATGTCGCACGCCGTAAACCACTTCCAACATGTTTATCTTTTTACGAAAGCTGTTATGTCGAAAATCAGCAAGCACGACTATTTGGGAATTATTCGCATCTCTCTCGACGATTAAATATCGATGATACCAATATTTATGATTTATCAATGTGCGCGATTTAGTCAAATTTAATGTTTAATGTAATAATCTGCAATACATAAATTATAAGTAACAAGTATTTCATTTTACGCGACATCACACTGCCATTAGCATATTTTTTTCATTGGCGATAATATCTCCAATTACATGTTTACAAAATTCAACCTCTTTAACTCTAACATATTTAATTCTCTAGCACACTTTTAAGGCATTGTAATCGCAACTGAAAAAACATTACATGAACCGCGACTTCAGTCTCGCACTAGCACACACGCGATACTTGCGTCGATCTCACGCTGATTTAAATGCTGCGGTTTTGCACGGAGAAGAGCGTAATCGACTAATCGTTCACGCTCGTGGCGCCTTCGAGATCGCTCGGTCCGGCTTGCGGAGCAGCATTCCACGATCCAGAGCGACCGTGCCCATTTCTATCGTGCCTGGAGCGTAAGAAAGGGCTCACTCACCGAAGAAAAGGTTCTACAGCGCGTTTCGTTGCGCGAGACTTGGAAAGCAGCAATTCTTTATTCCACCTGTCCGACACAGGTTCGAAAATCGGACTCCGCTGGAAGCTTTAACGTGACCTTCCGAGCCGGTCGATCGTTCCTTGGGCTGGCCTGGCGGCATTCCTCAGCCCACGCCTCCTTATTCGCCTTCGTCACCTTGAAGATCTTCCTCTTTCCCTCCTTGTCTACAACTTTACGACGGTTAGCCTAGTCTTTATAGCTTCCAAATTATTTAGATTTTGCTGTATCAATTCATGAAATACTACGCACTAACGCTAAAAAATGTTATATTTTTAATGTATTTATATATTTTAATGGATAAAAGATAAAAGGAGCGAAAAGTTTAGGCTATTATTAGTTTACCGTTTTAATTACAAGTCTTTTGACTTAAAATTTATCTTGAATATTAATTTGAAATATTTAGCTTTTTAATTCACTCTCAACTATAGTATTTATAGGTAGATAATATAGTTGAGGGAAAGTATATCCGATATACTTTATGTCTTATGCCTCCAAGACACATATATGTAATTCTTTGTGCGTTATTACGGAGGTATTCTATAATTTATCATTTCTACAAGCATTTGCATTAAAACCTATGCAAATTAGTGTGGGGAGCCGCAAAACCCTCGTCCACTATCTCTTGCGCAGTGTGAATAATTCTCCGCTCCACATTTCTATACTCACTAGATCAAAGCACTGCAGGGTAAATGATTTCCAGGAAACAGCAATTTATCATCCGGTCTAATAATTTAATTTACTTAGCAGCTAGCTACAACATTAATCACCAAACTCAGGAACTATAACTAAAGAAATACAGAAATATGCAAATTAATAAGTGTAATTGTTGAAGGACGCAATTGATAAATTGCGAGGACTTGATCTCAGTATTTTTTACGAGCATGGATTTAATTATCGATTAAAGAATAAAAACAGACTTCTGTCACATTCTGTAGCTCTCGAACGTAGGCACAAGGAGATCCGCTGTAAACGAGTGTCATGATCGTACAATTAACTTTCGCGAGATCGATACGTTCCATTAATGCAAGAGTAGCAATTAACTCTTGATAGCTGATTTACGCAAGTCGATCGATTTGTTTCTCTTACGCTCTCGCGTGAAGCACGAGAGAACGAGCTCGAGAACCGAGGAAACAACGGGATTTCAGTTTTTTTCTGCTTTTCTCCAGTTTCTCAAGTGCCTTGTAATCCACGGAACAGCGGATCTCGTGTCCCTAGATTTCATTCTCATCGGCTTTCACCGGAGACTTCGACTGAGCAAGGACGTTTCTTGACGCACAACCCACGAATACTCCCATATTCACGGACGACTATTGTCTCGTTTCCACACGCAGCTATTTGCTTCTTTTTCAAGTCATTTGCATATGATCTGATATGCGGCATTGTGCGTATTTTTTCGACGAGGATAGTTAACAACATTTGTCAGTTTTGATAGACGTATATTCGATGATGAAAGTTTTAATAATTACGTTTCAAACTGATTATTTTGTTTATAATAAATATCATATTCACATATATGTATTTTTTTCAGGAAATTTGCTTTATATTAATTTTTCAAACAATTTTTTATAATTCATATATGACGTTGAAAGCGAAATGTGTGAAATTTATACACAAGAGACGGAAAATCTACATGGAATTTTTCTTAAAACTTAGGAAACTTTTTCGCAACTGGAATAAATTGCGATACACTGATTTGGTTTACAATTTCTCTGAAAGATATTCTTCTCCGCAGAATGAAATTGTTTTCCCTCGTAATTTAGGCTGTTAGAGCAATAACAAGCGGAGCCAATGTTGTTAGCCGGTAAAACTCCATCAAGCAATTCCGTAACCGTTGATGACTAGAGTCAGAGAATGCAGGCTTGATACACTACATTTGCATACGAACGAGTCTTCAGCGCGGTCAGTCTCAGCGAACCATTGCGCCTAATTGTTAGTCCGCTTGACCCAATCGAGAATCGCCGCACGCGCAGCATCGCACGGACGCAATTTTCATTCTCCCGACTGCTTTACGTGCCGCCTTGCAATAAAGTCATGCTGCTACTTTGTAAGCAACCTAAGGTGCAATTTAACGAGCGCATTCTTTCACCGGCGATTCTCGTTCTTTAAAAACTGGGAAAAGTGGTTTGTGTCAATTTTCAGCGTCATTTCACTTCGTCATTTTATTTAGAAATCTATTAGGCAAATTGAAAGGTAAATTTGTACGATATGATAAGCCAGAGATTTTATCGATTAGAAAAATTTTGTGCAAAATCAAGATTTTTAAATTATTCTTAAACGAATAATTTGCCAATGTGTACACATATCGCGGTGTATCAGCACACGTAGTGTCTCGTCTATGCAGATTTGTGATGGCTTCGCAAATTGGGCCAATCGATGATCCAAACCGAGGCGTAATCCAATAACTGTCGAGCTCGCTCTAGCAAATATTCAACATTCCTGCATAGAGACGACTATTTAAACACGTCCGTTGCAGCTCGCAAATCCTTCGTTTACAGTCCGGAAAATTTTCAACGAGCAATATGCAGCAAATTGTGAAAAATGAGAGTCACATCCAGCGGCGATGAAAAACAGAATAAAAGAATCATGAATATTTCAAGAATTTAGTCCAGCAAATACATGTGTGTGTGTTTCTTTGTTTTATTAATAATATCACACGTAATTCTCTTTGGTTTTTTAATTGCTTTCTTTAAATTTTTCGATAATGTACCAAATTTCGGATAATTATCCTAAAGACTTTCTCTTATCTCTGTCATTCATTTCTAAATAATGGATCGTGTTCGTCGGTAATATAAGAACCTTGCCGTACAGAAATAAGTGTAATTGGCAAAGGAGAACGTTTTGCCTCTATGAATTCAAAAGCCATTAGCATAAATGATGCATGAGAGAGGCTAAGCCAATGAGGACTACCGCACATGAAATTTCATTAAACTGTTACGAACAACGATAAAATGCTTTCACCGAAATAATATCGCCACCTCTTTAACCGTTCGTTCATCTTTTACTTCCAGACGAAAGAAATTTCTCAACTTAGGCTAAGATGTCACATCACAGCGACGACAACATGCTGATAGCAACGTCGGACTCTTTCTGGGAGCCCGGGAACTACAAGCGAACGACGCGGAGGATCGAGGACGGTCAAAAACTCTGCGACAGCCTGATAGCGCTGGTCCAGGAAAGGGCGGAGATCGAGAAGAATTACGCCAAGGCGCTCAAGAGCTGGTCGAAGAATTGGAACGACAAGATCGAGAAGGGACCCGAGTATGGCACGACTGAGGCGGCATGGAAGGGCGTCCTGGTGGAGTCTGACAGGCTCTGCGATCTTCACCTCAGGGTCAAAGAGAACCTCTGCAACGACATTGTTCAGCAAGTCAAAACGTGGCAGAAAGACACGTATCACAAGGTAAGGATAGTGCGCTTCGTTAAATCGGCATCCTCTACAACGTTTCTATCCCTCTTAAGAAAAATTAAATCGCACGATCGCGGCGATTTTCACATTTCGTGAAGGACGACACGCTTTCAAATGGTAAAACGATTGGTGCGATAAATTCTATTGGCGGTCCTAAATTTATTTTCAACCACTGATTAATTCTGGAAAATAATTAAGATTTATTTTTGTAATTGAAATTATAGGAGAGACGAGTCTGCTTCTAGAGTCTAATTTCTTGTTACTACATTTTTGTGCTCATACGCAGAGATTACCGTCTGATCTCTATTACCAGTGATTTCTTTTATACAGGTTTTCGTAGTAGTAGCTAATATTGCACTGGATTTCGTTCCATGATTGCAGTCGATGATGACCCTGAAGGAGCGCAAAGAAATGGAAGACGCGTTCAAGAAGGCGCAGAAGCCATGGGCGAAACTCCTACAGAAGGTCGAGAAGGCAAAATCCGAGTTTCACAACAGCTGTAAGACCGAGCGTACCGCCGCGAACATGGAGAGGAACGCCTCTGCGGATAGTTCTCTCTCGCCGGATCAGGTGAGCGCCGCTACAGTCGATTATATCTCGCGCACACATTATATCACTTGTCACTCGTAACATGTTATTAACGATCGGCGCAACGTGCCGATGTATTACCATTGGAATCACATCGTCGCCACGTTTCGCTTTTAAAAGGCGGATCGCGAAATAATCCGCGAATTGCATGAGTTTGTTTCTAACAAAGTCTCTAACAAAGTACTGTACTTGCAGTACGCGTCATAACGTTTCCGTAGCGTATAAAGATTCCGAGTGCTCTTGAATGAAACACTTTTCTCTCTTACGCAGCTATGTGTGTGTAAGAAATATAATAAAACATTTATTGAAAGTGACAAGTTGATACAAATATTACACAATTCGCGAACGCGAACGTATACACATTTTATATTAAGAAATCTGTAGAAATAGGAATCTAGTCGTAAAAAGGAACGCGCAATATACAAATAACAATTGATTTTTCGACAGCACTTTTTTCGCAGTATTTTTACAGTATCGAAAATATTTTTGTATCCTCTTCACAGCGATGAGATCAAAATGATAGATAGCACAGGGTATATACTATGATAAAGTAACACGCGTACATAATTAGACTTGCATCTCGATTACGCACACGCGGCTCTACATACGGTAGATACAGTTGTTCTTTAGCGAGTATTATTTTCAGATGGCCCGAGGCTCTGAAAACGTACGTTACACCTTGTTGTATTCCTAAGAATACTTGCATGTGCCGCTATTCTCTCTTCTATTCTTGCTTTTCGCGACGTGTCGCGGTAAGCTAACGACACGCGACTCGTTCGCGACTCTAACGCGCGGAGTTCCTCCTGCACGTCTGTGTGTTTCTTATTCGTCTCTTATTCGGAACGGAAAGGACACTTCGTACCGGTCACTGTGCAAACCGAGACACACGTTCCATTCCACTTCTTGTCCGATAATTATACGAACGCTGTCTAAATGACGTAATAAGCCTGCAAGACGAAAGAAAAACTGTAGTGCAACTTCCTGTCTGAGTTCTATTACCTCGTCGCCACTGTTGAAATTATTGTTAAGAATAACGATACCGATTGAATCGAGTCCAGGAAAGGGAAGAATTGCCAAATTCCGCGTTTTGCATCGCTTCTCAATTCTAGATATTCAAGCATATACAATTGTAATCACTGCCAGAACTACTTACGAGCACGCATATAGTCGACACAATAATGAGATCTCGATATCGGCGACAAACAACTCTGAAAGACAGCTAACGACGATTTTTAGATGGCAGATTGTGGATGTGGTGCATGGAGCCTCAGAGTACCAAAAAACCTTAGGAATAATAAAATAGGCGACATTCAGTTTGTATGTATATGATGTTGCATGTCGTTGCATGACTTTTTTTCAACTTATATCTTTTTCCTTTCTTTTATTACAGAGAGCTCTGCTGGTAAGCAAATCTCTAAGTCTTTTTAATTTGCACAAAAAGTTTGCATTCGATGGATCGAATTCAAAAGTAGAAAACACAATCAGCAAATATCTTTGCAAAAATCTATGCACTACTTTCTTCAATACGCATTTTATTACATATTTTGAAGTCGATCCATTTTTTAATTTTAGATGTAACATGCTTTGCTCGTTTAGATAAGCACGTAGAAAAATATGACTGACAGCCGAAATATAATTTGCAGTATCGATTGATTAAGCTTTATTTATAATTAGCACACGCTTTTCGACGTGTATTGCGTTAATTTATCAAGTCAAGGCTGGTAGAAACATAAGAAGTGCAGCGCGCATGCATGAAATATAAATAATTCATGTGGGGATGAACGCAAACCTCTTTGCGCTAAATTCTTAGAGCGCTCGCGGCACACGATAGTTGAATACACCTCTTCGACGTTTTTCTGCGAGATCAAATAACATAAATTTTACCCAGTACGACCTCAACCTTGTGTCTTCGCCATAAAGCAGCGCCGAGCGTTCGGAAAGTAAGCGCTGTAATTATGCAATTATGTAAAGCAGTGGAATTACTGTGTTAGCGGAGTTTTAAATCACGCGAAATCCATATAAATTCCATTACACAATTCCCTATATTTTTACAAAGATTTTAAGATCCCAATAAATTTTGTTAATTTTTTTGTCGAATGCCGTTCGCAAAATATATGCAATTTTTATGTTGTTCTTCAATGAAACATTTTCAAGTCTATAGATAATAATACACTTAAGTATTAATCCGAAGATACATCGAGGATGCAAATTAAATTACGATAGAATAGCTATTATTTTGTACGTTGTTTACGTGTAATTGCATGACGAAGTAAACACGCATCAATAGATTGATGTAGTAGAGGTAATATAAGTAGTTTGGTACAGTAAATAGCTAGATTATATACTTTTCTGCACATTCTGATATACGAAAATCGCTATATATTTCTTCGTCCCCGTTCTTTTAATATGTTTAATGGTAATTTTTAATGGTATCCACGCTTAATGTCGCAAAAAAGCATCCTCTTGCAGCTTTTTGGCGATGAGCTAGATAAATTTGAGGGTAAAGAATTGGCACCATCAATCAAATTTATTTTCTTATTATTTAACATTAAAATTTCAAGTTTTGTGAACTAATGCTGAAACGACAAACTTAAAGAATCATGATTATTGTCATATATAAAATTTATTGCAAATAGTACGAACAATAAATAATTATTATTTATGTATATTCTTTTTATTTTCCGTAAAATACTATTGTCTTAAAATTTTTAATCATCTTTAATTTTGAAAACTTAACACATACTTAGACTATGTCTCGTAATGCGACCAATGTCTTTACCTTCAACCCAAGATTAAAGACGAACTCTCAGTTTCTAAGTGTTTTCTCGTTTCTCTTGGCACAGGTGAAGAAAATGCAGGATAGGGTACAGAAAACTAAAGAGGAAGTGCAAAAGGCGAAAGAGAAATATGAAGCGGCGCTTCAAGAAATCAATCAATACAATCCAAAATACATGGAAGACATGACGCAAGTATTCGAGAAATGTCAGGAAATGGAAGCGCAGCGACTACAATTCTTCAAAGAGGTCCTGTTCGGCATTCACAAATGTCTGAATGTATCGCAGGATCCAGTGTAAGTTCTCATTGCTATGCAATTGTAAATCCGCAATTACAAATTTAAAAAGTTATCTTCTATAAAATAAATTGATAGAAATATATATTTTTGCAAAGTCAATACATCGCAAATATGATGATTGCATCTCATAATCAACATTAATTATAAAATTATTTAGTTTAATTATCCAATTTAACTTGCAATGATTTAAACTAAATTAATTAGTGTTTCTATCTCTTTTCTAAAATTAATTGATACGAAACGTTTGCGTATCATTATCATCATTATTACAAATTGTATGTTGCTTTTCAGGCTTCCACAAATATACGAGGAGTTCTATCATACGATAAATAATGCCGATCATGAGAAAGACCTGAAATGGTGGTCTAATAATCATGGCGTAAATATGGCTATGAATTGGCCGCAGTTCGAGGTAAGCCGTTTACGCTTGTCGCTACGCACTACAAAAGCTCTACTGTCGCATGTAAAAGCCCTGCTCGTGGTTGAAGATCTTAGACAACATATAGCTGTAGCGTGTACTGAATATTACTCTATAGCTCTTCTTTTATTTATAATAATAATTTTACTGTTAATCGTTGGTCAATATGTACGCTTCGGCATATTTTCTTCTTTTATTCCTAGCACTTGGTCCAACATAGAATACAATGATATTTGCTGCAATTTCTCAAATTATTATAGGATATATATATTAACAAAGATCCGTTAAGAAATCAGTTTTATCCATATCAAAGAAATAGCGATTGTTAAAAGAATACGAAATTAAGAATTAGATCATATTGGCACCAAAATAAGTAGCAAAATTATCTCACATTTGAACGGAAGCAAATGGGCATACTCTTAATCAACGTTTTTAACTTTCACTTTATCGTTGTGTTATTAGTCGTTATTATATTAAATAAAAATTACGCTTTTTTTTGTCTGTACAATCGCCACTGAAAAATATTCCGCTTGCAACAATGTTTGTTGTTTTTTTGAATTTTCAAGCTTTCTAACCCGTAATCAACGTTCCTTTATTATTTAGAAACGCGATTTTTCAAACTTTCCCAAAAAAAAAGAATAATACTAGAGCTAAAATTCATACAGTCGTTGTACATAGTGCGAGTTTATCTCCTTATATTGATTATGGGTTGCAAATACTGCCGATTTTTCACTTGTCAGCATTTTTCATTTAATTAACTTGTACAAAAATAGAATCTTATATCATAAAGCTGTGTTTATATTGCCATTTGCAATCAAATTTGTTGTTTGTTTCAATGATACTACATGTGCCTCTGTCCCCCGTCATTAAGAGTTAAATTCGTTGCGAGAGTAATGCCCAGCCCCCTCGTCACCTCTCTCGTTTCAGGTTTTTTTTCATTACCAAAATTCTGAAATAATATCAAAAGCTGCCAAACAACAATATAACGTTGTATCGCGTTTTCTTAATTTAAAAACAAGAAAAGAGAGAGAAAGAGGGGGGAGAGAGAGAGAGAGAGAGAACCCGAAGACAATTTTCCGGAATGCATGCATGTGATTGTTTTGGGACGTTGCTATTATGCAGGACTACACAGAGGAGTTCCGCGAGATCACGAAGGGCTCGAAGTCGAAGGAGGCGCTCCCAGCAGGCCCGATCACACTCATCAATCAACGCCCGGTCGGCGAGGATCTGCATGTAAAGTTTTGTTTACACGTTACACACGACGCACCACCCGCAATCTCACTTTAACTGTTGAGCACCCCGCGCATCCAAAACCTGCTCGCCTACTATCATCCCGATTATGCCGATGAGCTGGTTCGTCTCGATCTCGGGCACGATGATCGATCGAGAGGTCACCGGCGCCGGTTAGGCAGGCACGCGACCGCTTTTAACGGATGTCCCAGCTGGCCGCGAGGTCATCCAGGATGAGTTGCCTTTCTCAGCTTCTAGCTCTTAACTGTCTTAACCGAATTAACCGTAATCCGCTCCGCACTTGCGCTCGCACGTAATCGCACGGATCCTAAGGTGAACGCGGATGGCCGAATGGCAGATATAAGAGCAAATTTACAAACTGGAGAGCGCGATGTTAAAGCATGAGACATCAGGAAATGTGGGTCGTAACAGATTATAAAACAGATCATAGATAAAGATTCTTAATTTATATATTTGTCAGAATATCTTTTGCTGATGAATTAATTATATTTATATTATTCATAAAATGGAAAAAAGATTGTATCTGGAAATAACGAAATTGAGGCAAGCTTATGTTTATTTATTTGAATGATACGATTTGTTAAAGGATTGCCATTATTTAATATCAAAATGTAATCAATGTTATATTCGAGAAGTATAAATAAATATATATATATAAAATATATAAGTAAATTATTTTTTTATTTTATCGCCAAGATGGTTCTTCGAAAGTTTGTAAATTAGCTCCGTTCGAATTGCTTATTACTCTGCTCACGGCATATACGGTATGATCAACATAATATTATTAATGGATATATGTATAAGTATATAAGTCATCAAGCATAACACAGTAAGTCATCAACAATTGTTAAAAATCACATATTTCTACATTCTTAAAAACGTTATGTTACAAGGATGTAATAATGGAAGTCATACTGTGGAACTAAACAATGGAAATAATGCGGAATTCATTTTAGAAATAGGAGAATTATACAGCAATCTTTTACCAAAATCGCATTTTCTTTCAACTACTGAGAACTTGGAACTTATTAATTCAAAATTTTTACAGAAGCTTAATATGTAGTATTTATTTAAACGCGTCTAATATTAATAAAAATTAAAAAACATGAATATGGCGGTTTAATGAAATTTTTACGAAAGAAAAATAACTTTCAAAGAAAGTGCGATAATATTAGGGGTCATTCTGTTAATTTCTCGCATGGTATCATAAAATCATATGTATATATCATGAAACCATTTGTATATAATTGCCAGCTGAGAATTATTTCGCAGAGAAACATTTAAAATATATCTCATCAATAATGCAATATTGCAGTAATAATATTTAACACGATTCAAAATTAAAGGGATATTATTTTAGCTATCCAAAATTCATATAATCTATTTATAGAGTTCTGATCACATTAACTTTTTTATAATTCATGTAAAAAATGTAACTTTAAATCTCACTTTGCTTTGTAAATACGCATTTTTTAAATTGTTAAATTTCTTGTAATGTGAATTCGAATGGATAACTATCTTCTCTATAAGAATATTATATAAATTGTTCACATTGTCAACTTTTATTACTTACACGCAGTATAAAGTTGATCAATGTTCTTGATACGAACAAGATTATTGAGAAGATAGATACATTGGATAACATTGGCTTCGACAAAATCACACATGCATTGTTGGCATGCTCGTTAAGCTCAAGGTATTCACAGCAAACAAATCGAATCATACAGAACATTCGATTATACGCATGGCACTCTCATCGAGAAATTCGTGCATATCGCGAAACGCACCGTACAAACTTTCTCGAAATGTATCTAACACATCTCCTTGTTCAAATAGGAATTTCCACCTGTCAATAACAAATCAAAATCGAAGCCCGCCGCCCGAGTGATACCAACGGACACGAATCACGGAGATAGCAAAACCGATACAATAAGTTCCAGCAAGCAATCTTCGGAAAAGAACGAGACCGATAGCGTTAATAGGACTTCAACCATTACGTAAGTTAATCAAAAATACAGTGTAATGTTCTTCATTTGGAATTCATAAAAGCGTCGTGTAATACAAAACATATGATGATTGCAGTAACGGCACTAATGCTAAGCAAGAGTCAAACCCATTCGAAGAGGAGGAGTGGGATGAGGACGGTGGCGAACCTCTGGTCGACAATGGAGAACCGGGTGTTCCTGTACGAGCATTGTACGATTACGAAGGAGCTGAGGCGGACGAGCTCAGTTTTAAACAAGGCATGTGAAAAGTGTATCTTTTACTTTCAGTATTTCAAGCTTTCAGAATCAATTGATAGAATTTTGGCTCGCACATTATTCTTTATATAATTATTTAACGTAGTTTTTAAGTGCGATTAGCTATTACGTGATGCTAAATTGAATTGTCACAACTTTTCAGGAGATGTATTCGAGAAGCTAGAAGATGAAGACGAACAAGGGTGGTGTAAAGGGAGAAAAGACGGTAGAGTGGGCCTCTATCCGGCAAATTACGTAGACTTGGTGTCGCAATAGATTAAGTAAAGTAAAGCCAAATCCACAAGTTCGTTAGTTACTTAAATATGTAACCTCTGAGAAGAACAAAGTTTCGTTTCGTTTCTCCTCGCTGTGCGAATTTCCATTCGCGACGCGTTCAAGGAGAGACCACGATATATGATGAACGAATCTTAATAAAGAATGAATTATAATATTTTCCGAGGCATTCTAGGCGTGAGCTGATCGTCCGCATTTATGAACTGTATAAACCGACGGAGAAGTGATTTTGTTTCGAGATCCTTCCTCCGCGTCAAAGGCAATTAGCGGAGTTGATTTAAATGAACAGCTTCCCATGCGAAGGTATCCCACTCACTTAAAATAAAATTTGGTTTTAGATAGCTAGATTAGTCAAAATCGTTTTGCTAGTTAGTCCCAATCGATAAACATGGATTGCCACGAGCGTATAGCAAGTTTAGATCTTCGGAATATTGTACAATCATATGTTTTATGACTCATTACCATTGTTGTAAGAATCTTTTGGCTGATGCAACGAGAGTTCTATTTAATTTATTGTTATTAAAAAAAATACTATTAAAAACTAATGTCTATCTATATGGTGTCATTGTACATAATAGATATAAGAGCATATATATATAAATATATATATATATACATATAGTAATACGTGAAGTTATTAAGTTGTCGTTTAACGAATTTAAAATGTTAAAACATGTGAACATAAAATACATCACTTTAAATGGATATAAAATAAAAATACAAAATAAAAAAGTTCGGGACCCAGAAATCAATCATGGTTTTATTTATCAATTGAATCTTATAGTTTATAATTTCAAATACGCATTTATTTCAATTAATATAATTATTATTTAACGAAATGATGTAAATAATGATTATTGTATAAAATTTTTAGATATAATGATAATTAGAATATGTATTTTTTCAGTGCCCTTGAAAAATCGATCTTACTAAAGAAATATATTTCGAGAAATAACGCGACTGATACACCAAACTACACATGTGCAAATTCAAATAAACTGCATTCTCAATATTAGTAAAAATACCTTGATAAAGATAACACGAAAGAAATCATTTGATGTAATTTTAAAATATATATAATGCTTTCTTTACATCTAATTCTATATTAATTTTTATCAATAACAAGTTTAACACCTTGGAAGGGTCTTTGTACCATACAAAAAATATAAAACCATAGCATATAAGAGATACTTTAATGTATATATCAATTTTCTTGCTTGAATTGTAGCAATTAAAGAAGAGAATATATTATTTTTTTCAAGAATATTTTATTTATAACTATCGTAAAATATTAAAGCAAAAGATTTATTACGAATATAATACACAATTATAGATCATATTCGTAAAAAATGTTTATTTTTTAATTCAAATTTTTTTCTTAATTTAATAGTCATTCATATATTAGTCCATTAAATTGAATTACTTATAATTTTATATTATTAATTCACACAAATTCTAATTTATGTGGTATATATTAAACACACTTGGTGTATTTAAGACATTTACACCTGAAACATTCAATCAATTTATCACATTTATGATATTAGTGTCATTCATTAAACAAAACAGAAAAAAATCCTTTTTCATTGTAATTGTATTTAAAATCGTATTTAAGTTCTATGTAAAACGTAGATATCATATTTTTGTCATATTAAATCATAAATAATATTCCATAAAAGAAACTATTTTAATATATATTCTGTAACAAATAAAATAATCTTTCCAATGCTTAAAAGTAAACTACTCATACCTCATAGAACTTTATTATATATAATTATGAAATGAGCATTATACATCTCAACCTATTAATTATTATTAATTATTGGTGACAAATCTGTAAATAGTGTTATAAGCTAATGTTATCTTGAAAAATAATTGCATATTGCATATGTTAAAATATTGTGTTGTATGTTTTATCTAATTCTATTATGCTTTTATACTATCATGTTTTCTATTATACTTTTTATAAACATTAAAAAACTAAAAGTAAATAAAAACTGTCAAACTTTACGATCAAAAATGTATACTTCGTGACTAATAGATTTTGTGGTAATATAAATTGTGAATGTTTCAAATGTATTTTATAATTGGTTACCGCTATAATTCAATAACAAAAGATATTTTATAACATTCACAATCTGTATGCATAAAATGAAATAATACGATTAAATCTGTACATTTAGAACATTCTTAATATTACAAATGAGTTGTAACGTGTTCTTGCAATTCTTCTAACGTGCGGAACGGTTTGTCACATAACTGGCATATTTGCGCATTTCCGTTATGTAAGTTTATATGGTCCTCCAGATCCTTTTCTGTATCAAACAGATCGTCACAAAGCGTACATTGATACTGATAGATAATTTGGGTTTCTGCTGCTTTTGGAACTTTCTGCACATGCACCCTTGTATGCATCTCCAGCAATATTTCTGAATCGAATAATTCCCAACATTGACTGCACTGATGAAATTCATCTTCTGACGATGTACTATCTTCAGGATTGTTCTCCTCATTGTTCGAGCTTGTTTTATTCAAATTGTTACTATCCTCGCCGTCGAACCAATGTTTACAAATATGCTCTTCTAAGGCTTTATCCGATTCCAAAATATTGCCGCAAATAGTACACTTGTGTTTAGGATCCTTTTTATCACTCCGTTCTTCGTCACTCTGCTCGTCACAATGCTGCTGTAAGTGGTCCTTCAACAGTTCCTCGTCTATGAAGATTTTTTCGCATAAGAAACAATTGTACTCTTTATTTTTCTGTGCGATATTTTTCGCAACATTGGACTTTGCGTCTGTGGTAGTTACTTTGTCGGACTGAATGTTGCTTTCATCGATCGTAGTACTTTGCACGTTCGTCTCATTTGTCTGCTTCTTAAGCGGCATTACACAAATACCTTTCCTATTCGTCTGAATTGCATAGCCCTTCTGCAACGCCTCAGAAACAGTCGGCAATTGCAGCCCAACTGTATGACTCTCCTGTGACATGGCAGGCACAGCAGTTTTTATTTGCGACTCATCGACGTTGTTTATCTCCTTGTTCTTAGTTTTGTTTGTTGATTTCAACGGTTTGTGCGCTTCAAAGTGCTGCAAGAATAGTTTCTTCGCTTTGAAATTAGCTTTGCAGATGGGACACACGTAAATCAAATCTGGCATCTTCAATTTGCATGAAAAAGCATGCGCCTTCACGCATTGGTAGTCAACTATCTCATGGCACTTCTTGCAGCGCATTTTCTTCTGCTTTTCTTGCGGCAATGTGGCGGTATTTTTGTTTACATTTTGCGGCAATGTGGCGGTATTTTTGTTTCCATTTTGCGGCAATGTGGCGGTATTTTTGTTTACATTTTGCGGCAATGTGGCCGTATTTTTGTTTATATCTTGCGGCAATGTGACTGTATTGTTGTTTGTATTTTGCGGCGCATCAAAAGCTTCTGATGAAGTTATATGAGATGCGCGAACATGCGTCTCGATGTCCTTCACACTGTTACACCTGAATTTGCAAATCTGGCACACATAAATCTCGGGTTCTGTTGATGTCTTTACTTCAACGTCCTTTTTATCACTCTCTTTGTTCGCCAAATCTTCTTTAGCATCGTTATCTTTAGCTCCTGATGGAATTATATGAGTCTCTCGAACGTGTGCTACGATATTCTTCTTACTGTTACATCTAAATTTGCAAATCTTGCACACATAAGTCTCGATATCTGCTAGATTCTTTATTTCAACTCTGTTTTTATCAATCTTTTCTTCGTTAACTTTCAAATCTTTTTTAACACGGGATGGCAGTGACATAGCATTGTTATCTTTATTAGTTGTAACAATCGAATCATTATTTGTAATTCTCTTTTCTAATATAACCTTGCGACGAAGTTGTTTTGTCGTAGAATTCTTGTACGTTCTTGGGCAAGCTCTGGGTGTTTTTTGAACCTTCGTATCTTCCAATTCGGTGAAATCATCTAATTCCAACGAAGTGTTAAAATCGTCATACTTCTTTGGCGGTACGATAAGACGTTTACGAGGAGTTGCGCTGTGCGATTCACTTGTTAGCGCAGCCCGTTTCAATGCGTTATTAATGACCTTGTTTGCTAGATTTAACCGCTCCAGCACGACTCTTGGCTGATACTGAGACGAGTGTACAGCTGTCTTTACAAATTCCGGTGAAACCCTCTGGAATTCCTGACACTTCGTGTCATTCTCATTCGTCATGTGCTCGATATTCTTTTCTATGGCGTTCTGTATTAGATTTTTTAACTTCTGATCGAGCTTTGGTTGCGAATTCGTGTTATTCACACAATCAGTTTTCGTAGCGTCCTCGTTTATACTTAGATATTTTTGCTTTACTTCCTTCTGAATGAAATCCGACAATTCGGCTTGCATGTGTTTCAACATCGTGAATTCATGAGACTCTATTCGAATATCTAGACATCTCTCAATATCATTCTTTGTCGTTTCTTTCATTTCATCTTTGTTTTCGAATATTGCGGGACTCACCACTCTGCGCAGTTGAACTGCATCAAAAATATCAGTATTCTCCTTACTATTAACATCTCCATTGAGGCTTTCGGAATTCTTGGAATTATTCAACGTCTGATTGCATTGTTGATCCTGAAGAACTAAATTTGACGTTACAATGAATGTGGTTTTACCAATTACTAGCTCGGTTTTCGATGACTTTGGTGTAAACATGGTGTTATTCGTCTGCGATATGGGTTTTCTCGCACCATTCGCCGTAACATTATTTTCCACCAACGAAGGTAAAGATTCCTTTTCCGGTGAATATCTAATTTTTGTCTCAATATTATTCTTCTCACTTGGTAAGACCACCATAGCTTGGTTCCTCAATCTCGTTCTGGGTGTACTTATGCCAAACCCAGTATACTTGTTCGCAAGATTAGTTTCTAAATTTTTCAGCAATTTTGCAAATCTTTTTTGCTTTTTCGCTTCCTCATCCACGTTAGTGTTTGTTTGAGTCTTCCGCACAAGTGTTGATTGCACGTCGTTGGATTCACTATCAGATACACTCTTTTGTGTTGCGGCATAGAGTGCCTTCTTTCTTGCCTGCCAACGCTTTAGGGCTAATATCCTGCGTTTATTTTTGCCGCATCTTACATGTAACTTAGACCTCTTTGATTCAAAAGATTTATTTTCCGTATGCTTGTCACTACCATTTTTCACATTTTTATTTAGCTTTCTTCTATCAATATTGCATGCTTTCTGAGGGGAAATTTTGGATAATATTGATTCATCCTCACTCTCTGATATATATATCGTATCTATTATAACTTTATCTGTGTTTACATTCGTGACTTCTGACGAGGATACATCTATTTTAGATCTTTTCTGAAAAAGACAACCAAATTATTCAGTCATTAAAATAACTCATAAATATGCTAATGCTAAATAATTCTGTCAGATACAAAACTAGATACTTCATATGTATATGTGTATATATATATATATATATATATGACACATTTTTTATTCATTAAATACAAAAAGAAAAAGAAAACTAAAAAGATAACATAAAAAACAAAATTATAATTATATAAAAACATACTTTATCAATAGGAGAAATACTATCTTCGTCACTTTTATTAAAATTTGTCCTTTTGATACTTCTTTTCAAATGTCTATTATTTTTAGAATGGTTTACCTAAGATAAAAGAAAAAAATGTTAAAAAATTAAGTATAAAAAAATTCCACTGCTGACAGTGAAACTTAAACACTTACAGCATTATCAGGTGCTTTCGAGATTTCTAATTGTTCCAAGAGGATTTTGTGGGATTGCATAAATAGTTCTTTGAATTCTGTCCACATGGACAATTTATAAAAGCATATATGACATACCCCATCAGGTAAATTCTTGTTGTACTCGATCTGCATCAGATGAACAGAAATAAAATAAGCATTCACATAAAATGATTGGTATAAGATATAGTAAAATATGTTAAAGCTTACATCGATGCAGGTGCATCTTGTTAAATCCTTGAGCTTGGGCTCTACAAATTCGTCGCGTAATTTGACCATAAAACCACTGTCGGCCAGGCATAGTCGACAGCGTTTAGCCATAACGTTCAGTAATTTACTTCTTCTCGCCATTTGGAATTGGCGTAAAGAACGAAGAAAAATAAACAGTAACCTCTAAATCATTTCCTTCCTACGATTCGAACATGTACAAGCACAGCGACATGTAGGACATGATAACATACGAAATATAATCCCCGTATAGAGCGATTAGTATATTTTGGTACATCTATGCCATCAAACCACCAATATGTCTGTGGCTAGCATTTTTGGCGGTTTCTCAAATAGAACAGCTATCTTATTCCATCTTACTCTCTATGCTCACAAGAAACAACAGACCAATAAGATCCGTCTTCCAGAATAATTCACTGTTATATTATCTGTTCAATATAACCAATTATTAATTTAATGTGCTAATTTATTGCTTGATATATTATTTATTGTTTGATACACTTGCAAATGATTGCACACTGATTGACACTGATGCTTCGCAAACTATTGCGTATAAAATGACGCACACTTAAGAAAATGGCGGCAACATGTATATTTATTGATGCGTTTATATTTTTTTTGCTTGATATTAAATTCGAAGAATGCCATAACGCTCATACAAATTCTACGACAAGAATTAATCGATTATTTAATAATTATTACATAATAGCTGTGTAAGGGCCATAATACATGAAAAACGTAAGCAGTAAAACTTGAGCAGTAAGTAAATTGGCCAATCACAGTCAAGTATTCTTGGAAACGTAAAAACCATTGGCTAATTTACTTGGGGCCACTTTTTCCAACGTCTGTTAACTCTAACCGACTGGTAACTTTTTAGAACAGTCAACTTAAAACTCGAAACTTGTATATGTCGTCAATCCTAAAATCTTAGTATATTTTGATAAAAAGTGTCTAGAAATTGACTGTAAAAAAAGATTTTGCAATACTAACACTATATTATTATATTATATATAATATTTATTTAGCTTATGAGAAAAATTTTCTCCTTCAATTGCAATATTTTATTCTTCACGTTGGCAATCCTCTAACCATTAATTAGAATTAACAGACGTTGGAAAAAGTGGCCCCTAAGGGCCATTTTACAATGCATCGCGAATGTCCCTACGCTAGTCGTATCCCCGTCTTAACAGAAATAATTAGAAATAGTATTTTTTAATTTGTTCGCATAAAATGTTCCAACATGTTTTTACTCGCTACTTCCAATATGTTCCAATCTATAGTATTACGTTATGTAAAGGACATCCTAAAAACGTCTTAAAAAAGACATTCTTAAGACGTCCCTAAAAAAGACATCGTTGTTTAATTTCTTTAATAATTGGTATTTTAACAACAAAAAACTTTAAAAGAGACATTTTTAATTTTCCTTTAACATTATGTGCTCCTGTTAACAATTATTTAAAATCCCGGCTAAAGTGGAGCGTAAGAAAGGCAACAGAAATAGTATGTTTGCTCTCTTCTAGTGTTCGTAGCGCGGAGCTCACATGTATGTACGTAGCTTGCGCATGTGTGCGGTATTTCCTCTCTCACGCTGCTTACGCTCAAATCTGGCATCACTGGCGCTATTGCAAAAGTTGATTTCGAATAGTCTCGAATTGACCGGTACGCGTGTAATTATTTGTGTTCATTCGTGCTCCGGATTTTCTTGGACAAAACGGTGGATAGAAGGTGCTTCAACGTATAACAAGTGCTCAAAAGTATTTCATTTTGTGAAAAGTACGTATCCCCTCACTGAATTATAACATTTTTACACATAACTTTTTCATATAACCATTCTCCATATTTTTTTGCGATATCATTTCCTTTCTTCATTAGCATTCATACGTTTTGCATCGAGAAAGTTCTTCGTCACGATACTGTAATATAAATTATTATTACAACGTTATTTCGAGCGTTTTTAATTCTCTAGTTTCGTCTTTTGTATATAGAATGGCCGAAATAGATTTGTCTCCGGCCCAGGACAGAGGTGTATTGAAGGAAATTATCAAGGAAGGCACAGGAGATGAGACTCCCACTAATGGCTGTAAAGTTAAAGTTCATTACATTGGCACTTTACTAGATGGAACAAAGTTTGACTCTAGCAAGGACAGAGAAAAGCCATTCAAATTTGATCTTGGACGTGGTAGCGTTATTAAAGCATGGGATATCGGTGTGGCTACTATGAAAAAAGGTGAAATTGCTATACTTACTTGTGCTCCTGAATATGCCTATGGCAAGAATGGTAGTCCTCCATCAATTCCACCTGATGCTACATTAAAGTTTGAAGTAAGTCTGGATATTATATTTAACTATAAAATTACCAATTGTTGCCCAAAACAAAATATTATACACAATGTATTAGAAAAATTCGTTCTCTGTAGTTACATAATATCTACATTGTGTCATTAATCATTGAAAAACTATATATTAATTATACATTCTCACGTGTGTATTTTTTAGGTTGAATTGCTTGACTGGCATGGAGAAGATCTAAGTCCAACTAAAGACAAAAGTATTGAAAGATACCAGATTACTTCTGGAAAGCAGTATGCTAATCCAGAAGAAGGTTGCCAAGTAAATGGTTAGTATCATGGTATATTAAGTTTAAACATAAAATTTATACTGTATTGTTATCTTTTTTTTCTAATAATGTTTGTGTATATATTATTTCTTTAGTGCACTTGATTGGAAAGTACAATGGAAAAGTGTTTGAGGAGAGAGATGTAGAATTCACTCTTGGAGAGGGAGAGATTGTGGGAATTGTGGAGGGTGTAGAAATTGCACTGCAGCGTTTCTTGAATGGAGAGAAATCCAGACTTTTAATTAAAAGTAAATATGCATTTAAGGAAGAAGGAAATACTGAATTTAACATTCCACCAAATGCAGATGTGGAATATGAAGTGGAATTGAAAAGCTTCGAAAAGGTAATATTGTTTTTTATTTGAATTGAGAGTATTTTTTCAATAATTTTATAACTCCTTGAACTTTTAATCACATTATTTGTTGTAGGAAACGGGAGTATGGGTAATGAATACATCCGAAAAGTTAGAACAAGCAAAGTTACAGAAAGAAAAAGGAACAAAATATTTTACTTGCAACAAACTCAATTTAGCCATCAAAGTGTACCTTAAAGTTTTCAAGTATTTAGATACTGATTTTAATGATGAAGATAAAGTGGAGAGGAATCGTATTGCGTTAGCAACACACTTAAATCTAGCTTTATGTTACTTAAAAACCGATCAAAATCTCTTGGCAAGAGACGAATGTACCAAGGCTTTAAATCTGGATTCTAAAAATGAAAAAGCTTTATTTAGAAGAGGACAAGCACATCTTGGGCTTGCATCGCCTGAAATCGCTATTAAGGATTTCCAAGAAGTTCTAAATGTACAACCGAAAAATACAGCCGCGACTAAACAAATCGTAATTTGTAATAAACTTATTAAGAAGCAATTAAGTAAAGAGAAGAAGCTTTATGCGAACATGTTTGATAAGTTTGCACAGGAAGACAAACAGGTTTGTGAAAAATACAGTCATGTATTTGAATCTTAATCAACAGGACTTTTTCATGTATGGAACTTTATTAATTGATTATAAAATTTTAGTCTAAATACGTGGTTATTTGAAGTTAAAAAAAAGAAATTATCTCTGCAATGTTTCAATACACAGTTGGATACGCAGTTACACAGTTGGATATTGATTATCACACGCATTTCAATGTTTAAAATAAACTACATTCATATAGAAAGTGCATTTATTATAAAAATTATGAATGACATAAAGGCTGATTAATTTAGATGAAATAAATCTTGAAAATAAGCATATCTCTATGTGTTTGCATTTGACCATAAACCGTGACTAATGTCACAGAAGGAGGAGCAAAAACTGAAGGAACTGCCAGATGTGATGCGCGGGACTCTAGGAGAATGGGGACAGGAGGAAAGACCTGGAGGTAGAGATGCGACTGCCTTTGAAAAGGAAAATCCTAACATACTTATGCTCAATGCTAACGGTTCCGGTGAATTCAAAAACATGTAAACAATGACTTCTTTTTCTACATTGCCTGATGTAAACTGCCAGTACACAGAAAAACTTATCAATTCTTATTTTTATTATCACCCAAATACTGCAATCCTTTATGGAAGTATATTATAAAAACATTAAATTGAATTGCAACGTGCATGATAAATATATTAAATTAAGTTTAACAGCACTAAATGGAATGACATTTTGAAACATTGTTATAATTTATTATTGTTACGTATATTATATAATGAATTATGTAGAAGTCAATATACACAATTATATTGTAGAATTTTTTAAATAAGTGAAACAATTGAACTATCTAAAAAAAATAATTCCAAAAATTAGCAAGCTGTGACATACAATTTTATTAATGCAGATAGATTGCGTTATGTTTTAGATGTTTATAACTTCTGCAAAATCACATATAATAAAATATATTCCATTTACAACTGTAATTTAAACAATATTTATGTGCCCGATTCCACCAACGTAGATTAACTTTAATCTCG